TTTATCCAGGGTCTCTCTTCATGGGTATTAACAGGAATTCTTCAGTGGATCTCTTTTATGACCTGTAGGAATTCTTCAGTTCAGCGATATGATGAACTCTTGTGCAACAGACCTGATTGTGAGATTCCACTTCATTGAAAGGACGACCTTAGGACGGACCATTAGAAAAGTGATGGGGGGGGGGGAACCAAAAAAAAAATTTATTCCCAGGAAAAAGTTAGGGAAAAAAAATCTTCCCAGGCATAGTGCAAAAAAAATTCCTTTCTTGGAAGATAGGCCTATAAATTTTAATAAAAAATATATATTTCCAGCCATCAAGTGAGAAAAAAAAATTTCTATAGGTGTACAAAAAAAAATCTTGCCTCTTAGAAAATCCCTCCCCCCATCACTTTTCTAATGGTCCATCCCTTAGTTAATTAAATTTGCTGCTGTATACATTATGTCGCAACGTGTCACTATTTAATAAACTTATGTACAATTACAAATCAAGCCCACAAATCGTTGAATATACTCTTACCGCTCGTTGCAAATCACGCAGGCGCCTATTTAAAAAGCCCCAGCAACTTAACGCTCGAGAGAGCGTCTTGTTAATATAAAACTCGATAGACTGCGAGCAATCCCTCTATTTTCCTTCGTTTTATTGTTTCCGGACTAAGATTGAACGCGCGGGAAAATGGCAAAAAGGGGCGGAGACGAGAGGAAAAATAGAGGGATTGCCGCTTTAACTAATTGCCAAGCGTGTTTGATTTTTCCGTTGCACAGACAACGGGAAATTCTGATTGGTTAAAAAACAATAAATATTCTGATAACATTAAAACCCATCACTCAGCTGGCTTTATACTGTAAACAGACATTTGCCGAAATTAATATCTATCTGGCAGCGGGAAGCAACGAAAATAAACGTATGTAGTTGAAAGTCTTACAACAAGCTTACAGAAACAAACGCTTGGAATAGAGTGCCTACTTGAAGGTAGAGATGTTCTAGCTGTCCTTCCTACGGGATTTGGAAAGAGTTTCCTGTTGGCTGAAGATATTCGAAGGGTTTGTTCAAGCCCAACTAGTATTCTAGTATTTAAATTGTTCCTCTTCATAGCATTATTGATGAACAGTTACGGTCCAACGACTTTGCATTAAGGATAATCGCTTTTGGAAATATTAACTCGGCCGTTCTTATAGTGGGATCAAGGAAACCAATTTTCAGATATTTGTGTATGCGTCTGCTGATGAAGCTTTGAGCCTTTGTCTCCTGAATTTGTTGCCTTGTTGCTTTGTCGCCATTCAGAAACGAACTGTCCCTCATAGTCGTTGATGAATTGGCAGTTAGACTAATTAATACATGGTGACTTGGTGAGTTTATGGAGTTTGGTGGGTTTATTATATTGTATGTCTTTGTATTAAAATATGTATGTATGTATGTATGTATTGTATATTGTATGTATTGTTTTGATCTTAAATGGAATAGTCATGTTGACAGTATCAATGTATCTAAAAGATTGTATTTTTTACGTCAGTTAAAATGTGCGAATGTACCCGCTGCTGAGATTATTTGTTTTTATTGTGCTTGCATCCGACCGAGATATAGTAGAATATGCATCGCCCGTTTTTCGTTACGGAATCCCAAATTACCTGAGTAAAGACATTGAACGGATACAGAAATCATTGAAGATCCAAATCACAAACTTCGCGGCACTATTTACATGAACACATTCATAATCGCAAGTTCTAAACGTTTTAATTCATAGTTCATAGTTTTAGCATTCGTATACATTTGCATGTTTCCAATTTTTAAGTTTAAATTTTAAGCTTTGTAAACATAGAGG